AAAAAAAAAACTCTGTAAAAGAAGCTTCTCCACAAACAACCACAAACAATTGCTCCATAAAAGAAAAAAGAAACAAAACCAAAAACAGAAGAAGTCGACTGTAATACCCCAAATTTTCGGGAATTTTAGCATTTAATTAAGGACTTGATTGTGAGAAAAGATTGTTTTGGGACCTAATGTGAATATTTCAAAAGTTGAGGGACTTAAAGAGGGAAAGATTTTGGATAAGGATGACTTCTTTTCTTTTTCTTTTTTTCTTTCTTTCTTTTCTTCCCAGCCTTGCCCGATTTTGCTCTTCTTCTCCTTTCTTCCCGCTGCAGCCACTCGAAAGAAAAAAAAAGGGGAACCCAGCCATGCCTTTGAGAAACAGGTGAGATAAGCTTGGTTTTCTCCTTCCTTTCTTGCTCTAGAACACACCTAGAACCCAGAAATTTTCCCCCCCTGCTGGAAAATCCGGATCTACCCTGCTCTGCTTTGTCCTTCCGCCGGCTGCTCTTGATTGTGGGTGATTTCTGAGCATTTTTTTTCGGTAAGAACAGCCCCTAATTCCTTTGTTCTTGCTTGAATTGGCTTGGGTTAACTTTGATTGCTCTTATTTCCTCCAATTTTGGGTAGTTCCGTGAGCTTCCCCTTGCACTGCCGCCGGCTTCTCTCCCCCTGCAGCTCCGGTTTCTACAACTGGAGAATTATGGTATGTGGCAGCTTCTCTAAGTGCAAGTTTAGCCGTTTAATTGCTGCCCTTTGTGTCTGAAATTCTGGATTAATTAGGGGAGAAAATTGATAGTAATTAGACCATGATTTAGCTTAATTCAAGTGAATGTATGTGATTGAGTGTTAATTGATTGCTGTGATTTTTGGAGAAAATCCCGTGAATTAGCTAGTGTTTTGGCCAATTTTGGAAGTTGGAATTACTGTTCACGTCGAGGTCACTGTTCATCGGTTACTGTTCACACCCCGAGGGCCAACATTTAACGGGAATTTAAATGATTAGTTTGTGATATGAGGTCGAATTTGGAGATATTTGATCATGTGGAGATTGATAGGAATAGTATCGAGATTAAGAGTGATCTTGATGATTTCAGTTTGAATTTGTGATAGTCCGGTATTAATTCTGAGGTGTTTTGATTAGGTTCCCGATTGTTATGTCAGTTAGTGCGTGAATTGAGTGCTCGGTTTTATGCGAGTGAGGTAA